CATCTTCAACTTCAAACTATTATTTTTAATGAGTATTTTTAACTACAGATAACTAGGTAGGGTTCGTTTTACCAGAAGTGAACAAACTTTCAGTAAGTCGACTTTTTATGTACCCATTGAATGAAGTTCACAATCTTATGCAGTTTTGACAGATGAAACACAGTTAGGCTACGCGTCACGTCGTGCGTCAAAAGCTGACGCAACTTTTCAAACGAGGTTAAAAGCATAGGGAAGAACTCAAACGCCGGTGTATTAGAGGTAAGTAAACGTCTTTTTAGTGTGACGAGCTTCCGTGCGAATTCGCGGATTCCCCACAATGACGGAAGCTCAGTATCGAATGGCTGGCGCTGGCAATTACCTGCGTTTATACAAAATATATCACTATATTAATGCAACACTTCTATTAATACTGTGACGGTCATTAGGACGGTAACGGTATAGAATTAACTTAAAAACAGACAACTATGTTGAGGCTAATAAGCTTGACTAGTAAACTGAAACTACCAAGGACAGTACTAAATACAAAACCCTTCGGGTTGGGCACATCTTATCTCACTATTAACGCCATGATCTGCCTGAATCATAATAGTAGCGCATTTTAATAAACATCGTATTTTATAGTATTAACTAAGTATAGAATTTTTGAGACATACTGCAAGGCTATGCAAGACTTGTTTAAGTTATCTAGCAAAACTAGATTGTTTCGTACAACATTTCCAAGTCTCTATACACATCTATAAAGTACAGCATTTGATCACACCCCTCAAACTGATACAGCTTACCCAAAGGTAATAGTTCTACGAAAAGTAGATGGAATAGTTAGTTTAATCAAATGTGTAATTTTGCGTCTTTTTACGATTTTGGAAATCATTTTCGTGAAGCATAAGTACTGGAAGCTACGTAGATGATCGACTCCGAATCAGCGAACACGTTCACACTCCTCCGTTTTATTCCGTCCGACATAACCAGCGTAGATTTAGATTCATACGTGAAAAGCGAACTCTCATGGCGATATCATCTCATGGTCTTCACCTTATTCAGGTTAACCGTTAACCACAATTCCGTTATGACGCATGTAGAGTTTAGCCAGAGCTCTCTATACTTGGAGTCTGCTGTAGCCGCAAATTACCAAATCATCTGCGTAGATCACAACTTCGGTGGGGTTCCTTTGCCCCTTTATTTCGTTGGGAAAGCCCTTAAATAAGGTTGCGAATAGCAGAAGGCTCAGACTATTATTTTGACTCAGGTTTATCGTTAGCGAAAAGGGTGTAGCTTCGACATTGCATCACCGGTGGATATATACATAGATATTGTACTCCTGTAGGATTGCAGCTAGCGGGACGAACACAATCCACGGTGCACCCTCGCACGCCAAGATATGCTGAGTCATGTCCTTAAATGCAAGATGTATACAAAGGGCTTATTGGGTTATTGAATCCATATTTTAATGTCGGATACCAGCATGCTACATGTTTTTATTGAACGCTCCCTCTGAAATCCAAAATAGGACCCATTTGGTTTTCCTGAGCTTCGTCGGAAGTTGACGACATTTCTTTGGTAATTTGTTTTTACCGTTTTCGACCATTTCATCTGTGTGAACGGGCTTTGAGAACCTCGTTGGAGCATCGAGGATTTGCTAGAAAAGACCGAGAAGGTCATATTTACATTGCACCCCACTACGGTACTACTCACAAAATTTTGGTGTCCTAATATGATAATAAGGGGCTTTCCGGCCTTTCTGGATGTCTACAGGAAGCACGTTATCATTACTTGATTGACTCCACTAAAACGCCAGGTTGAGGTATCTTGCTAGACTTCTTTTTCTCCAACAGACGGTATGATAATTAGATATCATAGGAACCGTTTGTAAGCGTTAAAATTAAAAGTAGCCAAATTAGCTGCATTAAGAGTATGATGTTGATTGCATCGAAAGTATAATCTGCTCTTTCAGCAATCCGTCCAGTTGGAAGTTATTCGATTAGGCAGACCCATCGAGACATATTTATGGGTTCAAATCAGAGACATTAAAGGCATCTAGAGAATTGTTTTTCTAATAGACACATTTCATTTTACCTGTAGAGATGAAAGGCCACATACATTTAAAATAGAAAACTAATATCTACTGGTAATCAGTTATTTCCTAAGAGCTATAACCTAATAACTTCCTTCGTATTCAATATTAAACACACTTCGACATGCATTGGCGACCCTTATTCACGCCAATCATCTTTCACGATATATACATTTGACGATACATCAGTGTGAACGCTAGTGCGGTATAGTTCTCAGCCGTTTAAATCAGAATGCAAAATAAATTGGTGCTGCCGGCTCATGACAAACCAAATCAACATTACGCTCTGTCGCAAAAACCACCTCACTAGGGAAAATCATTTGACCAAACGCTTCTATTCTTCACGCTGCTTTTTCTAGGACAAAACTATATCATTGACCGTGAATATATCAGTCCAATTTGCTCGCGCCAAGAGATCAACAAAGTCCACCAGTCAAGATAAGCAGTTAGGAGATAGGAAGTTAGATAGGAATCAATAATATATTGATTCCGTGTTCTATGTTTTGCTGTTAACAATACGATTCAAGATGATATAAATGTATATCATCTATATATGTGTATTATGCTGCGATTGTGCAACTCATCCTGAATGATAAGGACTTGTATTGCTTTTTACAAACAGAAAGGACTGTCTATATAAAACGATTTTGCATTACTGTAATGTGTGCTATTCAGCATTTTTTCCGAGCACAGCCGTTACTCATGATTATAGGGCCTATAAAAATCAAATCATCGAGGTGAACGTTTTAAACGAGATGTACGATGATCCAACATAACACTAGGCTCGAAGCTTCTTGTGTTACCTATCTATGAAAATTTTTGGCCATATGTAAACGTCTATACGCTGCATGACGGAAATTTTGTCATGACACTATCGAAATAGTCAAAAAAAGGGAGATCAGGAGTATTCAAGCTTACGTTGTTACTCTAATGTGTTCGAGTTCACTTTTCTAACCTCAGAAGTATTGTCTTACATGATGTTTGGAGCACCAGCGAAGCTTATGCACGCTCTTTAATTGAACGACGCTCGATGACACAATGCGTCGTATTCAAACTTCCGATACTCCTGAAGTTACTAAGTTCGAAACTACTTACTTCGAAGAACGATAATTTAACGAATCAAAATGTGCTTTCCTACACACCAACGTTTTTTTATATTTTTCAGTAGCTAGAAGGGTACTAATTTCTTATTCCTAATTAAACAGATTCTAGAGAAAAGCTGTTCACATTAGTTGATTTCAAACATAGCTACTAAGTACTTGTGGCTAAGAATTCCTTACCATATGCACCCTTAATTTAAAAATGTGAGGTTTCTCAGGATCCTGTGGTAGATAGAACTACTTCTAACAGAGTTTACTACAAATAGCGACTATGACGTTCGTTTTAGCCAAATCAACGAATCGGAAAAAAAACGTTAAATTATGGTTTCAAGTAATTTCTGCTTTATATAAAAATATAACTGAATTTAAAACCAATCTTTTGATAACACAAGTCGGCTTACTTTCAAACGCTGTTTTTGCCATTTTAAATAGGTGTGGACCGAAACTATTAAATTACAAATTTAATCTGCTATATTTGCGCTTAAAGGATTACTGCACATACGTTTTAGATAAGAAGAGTTTTGACATTATGGGCATGGGTAAAAAACTTCAGGCAACAGCTATCAGTTTCGGATGGGAGGAAGTTCAAAAACTTAAACTATTTCAAAGACCAAAAAGACCAATAACGAGCCTTTTTTGTCGCAGGATCTTCGTTCTATGAAGTTTTAGGTAAATCTTTCAGATCACCAATTTCTGGAAAGTTTTATCGGCATATGAATGCATGTCAAATCTATTCTGTCACAGGATCCTCAATGAAAACCATTAGCTTTCCACTCGAAGGAACATCTTTGCGTCTCTATAAGGCATCCGATCGGATTTGTGAAAGCTATATGCTTAAAAAACGGATAATACATTACCGGACTTGACGTAACGGTAATAACGTCAGCCATCTTACAACTCGTGTGATCACTCGGGTATCAGTCGCAAATTTTCGGTAGATGTTCCACCTACCTGTTTAACGGGACCTCGACACGTTCAGTACAGCTAAGTCCTGTGCTATATCTAAATAAATTGTTCAAACTTTTTGTCATCTCGTACACTAGTCCCGATCAATAATAAGAATAGAATTCTATAGTCTGTGGCCGGAGAGACTGACGCAGCTGAACGTCGAATTGTCTTTATTGCTTGCATTGGTTTGTCGATTTCGACAGTCAGTATACGCGCACGTACAAGACACAAACAAGACAGTCCTGACGGAGCCTTGAAAAAGTCCTGAAATATAAAGCCAGTCCTCTGCATTGCTTAGCACATATCTTGGCATGCGAAATAACTGTTGCATTAATTTACGTTATATCTGGCTTGTAAATGAGTGTATATTTGAAGTTTTGTATTATTGCATCTAGTTTTGTGCCGACAAGAAATTGATATTTTTGCCTCACGTGACGGACACTTTGCAAAACGAAATTGGACTTCAACTGAACATCGTTATGTAGCTTAGACATTTATCTGCGATTAATCGTTCGGTTTCTTCCTTAGATAGCTGAAATTACCTATGGTTGAATATTTAGGTGAATGAATGTTCACAGCTTTTTACCCTTTCTAGTTTCCTTTATCGTTGTTATTTCGTAATGTGGCGCCTTCGTTTTTAGCATAACCAGCTTCTATCATCATATATTCGAATTATTTCATTGTTTCTTTGCTCTGATCCGAGTAAATACAACAATTTTATAAAACAACTTTAGTCTTTGGTTTAGATAGTAGTTCCTTTAGTACGAAAGCGATACATCACTGGCGATACATATAGTTAGATCAGTGACCATATAATAATAACTATTGCTATATTAATTATTATATATTTATTATGATTTTCGTAAAAGCAATCGCTATGTTCAGTGGTCGAGGTTGGCCTTTAATCGATTCACAGCGCTTCGGCAAGAAGGCGCAACAACGGCCGCCAGCATTTCAAATAGAACAATAATAAAAGCGCCACCTATCCCAGTAGCAAACACGTAGAAACAACCAAGAACTTCACTGACTCGCAAAGCATCTATGATGGCATCGCCTGACAAAGACGTGCTCCGAGCATATCTGTGCTTTGGTATGGCGGTATATTTGAAATCGAAGACAAACCTCGAAGGAGATTCGAACAACCAGGTTGTCCTGCAAACGTTCCGACACAAAGCAAAACTACATTGTGATCATCATTCTTCCTTCGAGTATAAAATTCGCTCATAATTTACACTGTGATCATTGTCCAATCAACCACCGATCAGACACTGCATCATAAATATGGCATATTGGGTTAAAAGTCTTAGCCTACTTAACAATCTGCAGGTGTGAAAACATTCATAGCAAGACGGTCAATCCTAAATAAATTTTTTGATTTATCGTATGTAGGCTACACATGAAAAGAAAACGTTTCATCAGTGAATGCACCATGTATTTAGACCAAAAAAAAATTGCCTAGCCGTATTCGCTACAAAGAGTTTCACTACGAACAAAGTTGTACTTGAGAATTTTAAAAAATACCTCCGGTTAAATTCTAGGATGAACGTGTCCGGCAGCGCATTTCGATAGTACCAAACAAGTGGTGCCCCAAACAGTTTCTGTTCTAGGCATATAATATAACCGCGGTGCTTCTCCGGAAGCGAGTAATAGACGTGGGCTATATAGATAGCCATCATTTCGCAGTTGGAAAGGGTGAACATCGTTCCATTCAGAAGGCCGCGTATCGTTTCCGGAATTAATAGTCTATCGACGGCGCTATAACCATCATGCTCAATCCAATTCAGAAGATCACGTATATCTTCAGAATCATCTCCCTATTAAGAAAACATTAGCACAAGTTAAAATAAAACAATTTGCCACTCAAAGCAAGACTTTTCAGTACATCAGTTAGCATCTAGCACAACGAACAATGTTTAGTATTCATAATGTTCAGAATTTAAAAGCTGTTCTAATAGGGATAAGTTAAACGCACTGAATATTTCTATCAATCAATTGAAGGTATCGTATCGTTTACGTCGTTGCTTTGTTTATTGGTCTCCATCGATGATAACTTCCTTTCTACTCAGCTTTCAGTTATAAGGACACGCTTCTTCCAACTAGAATTCTTATACTATGTAATTTCCTTCGTTTACGTAATTTTTGAGACCTTTCAACAATCGAGATCGCAAATTGACAAAAGATTAAAACGAACTTTATTTTTCAAGTCTATATCTGCGTAACAACATTCTAAAAATAAACCCAGCGATCTTCATATAGAAATTAACCTTGAAAACATCAGTGAGAAATGTATCCGAAGGGATAAATGGATGCATGTGGTGTCTCTTTTTTAGCAGCTCGGCTACAGTCTTTATCCGTTCGGTAGGATCTCGCCTCATCATCGTTGCCTGCAATCGGATATTTCGAATACGAAGTGTAAATATGCATAGGATGAAAATAACGACATCAGCATCGATATTACGCAGTGTGGTAATTTATTTAAATTACATTAATAAAACAAATTTAAAATAATAATAAAATTGAACAGTTTGCTCAGGGCATGCTTAGTAAATACATTCATAGAACGGTCTATTAAGCTGGTAGTTATCGTATCTATCGTATTGTGTATTTATTTGGATTTGTATTATTGTATTTGGCTGAATAAAGAACTTTTTTTTACAATTTACTTATCATGTTATATATCCTCCGACATTATTCATATTTTTTCCCATTTTTTCATCAAGCAATATACGCCCGTCTTGACGGAGCGTATTGCGTTTCGTCTCAAAAGTTTTCCGACGACGTTTTCGAGTAATTAATTTGTGTCCAATGTAATGCCATAGATATGGTTGCCCAGTCCTGATTGGTCAGGAAGAGACGAACACTGTTTCAAACTTTGGAGAAGAAAAAGGGTACACAATATGTAGGGTGCAATAGCCCATACCAAGTTCAGGATGTTCCTATGACGCGGAAATAACAGCTAGCTGGGGACGCTCCCACCAGAAAGTGCCAGACTCCCTCGACAATAGTCTCGGACTGGCCATACTAACAGAGCATATGAAGTCACACTACCTACAGTAAGAACATAAACGAGAAATATGCGCTTCGGACGTTGCCCTGGGAACCTCAGCTTCAAATCCACCTCATCTGCCAGGGACCGTCTAGAACTCACAAACCAGCTGGACGTCCCGCAAACCTCTCTGTAGTGACAGAATTTTCCTGGCGAACCTCTACGAATGTTGTAGGAATGCTTTTTTCATCGTAAAGCTTCCCTGTGCCTCCTCTGCACCAATCTTGATATCGAACCAAGTTTGAACAGCTCTTTATTACGTCCGCCTTACGACCCGGTGCGGTGGCCATTTCCGTTATCTGACCAGCGCCTTGTACTTTTTAGCCCAGCGCATGGGCTTCCTCTCATTGAATACCACCGGACAACGACACCCAATCATGCGGCCTCTCGAGCAGCCCTTTCGGGACTTTCGAACATCCCCGTTGACATGTAAATGTTAGCGATACAATTTTCTTCTATTAAACACAGCTATCCAGATTGCTCACAGACAGTATCTAAGAAACTTGCTGACTGATATTTTGAAATTTGACAGATTCAAATACTACCTTGACTGAAGATGACACCATTATAGCAGAGAAGACAGATGCGATCATACTGCCTGCGACAAGTATGCGATTTGTTGAGTTCTTCACCTGGATGTCAGAGGCTTGGCAAACAATGACAGCAACAAAAATTACCAGTCGTAGAAAATCTGAATGCCAATGTATTTCTCCAATGTAAACGTTATCAGAGGGATTCTAAGTTCCACTCATATTTCGTCTATGAAAAATCGGGCAAAAGAATCCCTATTGGCGCTGAGAGATAATAGAAGCTGATTATTAGACGAATTTAGGTTGTTTTATTCACGCAGTCTTTAACGGTTTTGATACGATGCTTTTTTTTCGAGGATTTCTTCTAATTATGACGCACGCATGTTAGATCGCAATCAAAAAGAATATATATATATATAAATTTTGCTCGACTCTGTGCCAAAACCAAATGTTACTTATATATCCTAATTTGCGCCACTTATGGGGATATGGAAGTTACAAATCTATAACTTGCATATCCCCGCAAGCTTATCTTAGGAGCTTGCCCATTAAGAACTAGAGTGAAATCACGAATAGGAATGCTTACCATTTTGAGCGTTGAGTTTAAGCAGTTCAAGAAATAGTTTCGAAATATTGCCAATGTCTTCTTGTCCAAGCTTGGGTAGAATTTGATGTGATATGAAGGCCACTAGTACGGCGATACCAAAAGGCAAGATCAAAAATAAAAAATATAGGATGCCTTCAATGCCCATAAACGTGGAAAAGGCGTTGATGGCATAGGCAATCTGTGTGCCCATTACTATCGTATATTCTTCGTAAAAGACTGTACTCGAAGATTCGAATAAAGTCGAGTATACATCAGATGCGCTGAATGGACCGATGGCGATGTCGGCCCTCTGCCAACATAGAATCGAGTATCATCGCTATATTATAACACTTGGGAAAACAACATTTAGATATATGCATATGATATATATATACGTATCTATATGTTCTAATATATATAAGTATCCGATTACGGTGCATATATCCATATATGTACCGTAATCGGATTAGGTACGAACTCATAATAAAAAAGAGTCATTGCCAAGGCTAGATGCAAACAAAAATATTCCAACGAAATCTTGTGTGTGTTAAAAGTATCATTCCTCACGGCCATGTCATTCAGTGCTTGCAGTCTCAATGCTCCCTTTCCAATTGTGTCTTTTTGATAGCACAAGCAGCCGAATAGAGGTCGTCTATCCGAGGATTGTTGGACTCTACCGAGCTCTAAACATAGTATTTTTACAGTATATATTAAATAAAGACTATATGTTAAAATATGCTCAGATTCTCAACCCTACATTAAAAGGACAATATAAACAGGTACACTGTCTTTTCCGTGTTCTTTTGGACATCGTAGGTATTCACGGTGACACAGCAATCAGTAAGACATCCATAAGTAGTGGTAATAACCTAACGTCTCTCACTAACTTAGGAGATGAATTTTAACCGGAAAATTGCTTTTACGCACAATGGGCACATCTTCTGGATTGGAAGCAAGTCACCGATCGTTTTTGCAATCGATATCAATATGAAGGGTAAATGTTTGGCTCTCAGAGTAGAATCAAATACCCTTCATAGACCTGCTTGGACAGACAATATCAGGTGAGTTTTTGGCCTCAGAGGGCCAGAGAGCGCCTGCCTAGTTTTAGGACACAACGCGTGTCTGAGGTCTTTGTGAAGAATAGGTAAAATGGTACCCACCATTATATGGAATTTTTTCGTTTCCTGTCCAAAAAAAAGATTTTTTAGACGGCATCCATTAACTTGGATTTGCACCATCCATTAGTTTTTCCTGTATCTAAAATATGCTGGAACTTGGTTCTGCTTTGTCTGCAGCCGTATGCTTATCTTGCGATTTTATATGCTACGGATTCGGAGTCACCGAGGGAAATTATTACTTCGGCGCGACGTTGCTGCACATAAAGGGATCGTAAGAATCGATGCTTTCTGAATTCTGACGACGAAGTACCATTTTCGCTACAGCTGCTCTGCTTATATCCTTATAGGAACGAGCTATCTTCGGTCGATTGTGGTAGGTTTTGATGAATACTTCCATAAAACTACGTATGCGTATCCGAAGAGCCCGAGAAAAAGGTGGACCACTTTGAACACACAGGTACACGTGTATACAAGGTACTATTGTATAGCCATGCATTTATGCAATGCCCCTAGTACCAGGAAGGTACTAGGAAGCAAGCCTATTCTGGACTAAGTAGTGCGTCGGTTCTGTGATTTCACCAAGGATGATCTACTATTCAATCTTTTCGCGCTGAACGGCTCCCCAATAAAATTAAAAACTTTTTTATTGTATAAAATCAGCGATATATATTATTGCCAGTTTTCGGGCGGCTTCTAAAAAATCCGAGAAATATTTCCATAAGGAAAATAAATTTTTTTCTCAATAAGATTCAATAAGAGGACCCAAGAATTCATCAAAATGCCATTTTTAGCATGCGCAAAATTTTTACTTTTTTTAGAAATTAACTAGCCGTTTTAGATACGATCTATGAATAGCCACTAGAAGTAAGCTCTTGTAATAACTCTCCTTTTTTTGCCTTATTTCCCACATCTTGGCGTTTTAGCCCGTTACCACAATTAAATTTGGCTAAGATTGTTTGTATGTAACGTATTTGATCGATATTTCCTCAGTTTCCATTTACCGATACCGCTATGCATGACAGTTATTGAAAAATTACTTGCAGAAGCAGGAATACATTAAACGACTAAAGAGTGCTTTAGGTTTTAAATCGAAGATGTAATCGCGGTGGATGATAGTTATAGTTATAGAGAAATGGCACTTAAGCACAAGCGAAACATTGCGTTGCTTCCTTTACCTGTTTTTTCAGTCTAAGAGAACAGTCTCACTTTAGGCGATTTTTACTTGTGTAAATATATTGGACGGTCGAGCGAGTTATTAAGGCTTTTTAGGTATACGGCTTAAAGTCACATGGGTTACTTAGGTTCTGTTGTCACGCCGAGTTGGTGTGGTTGTTACTTAAGAGCTAAAATTTAGCGGTCGTAGCTAAGCTAATATTATTCGATTTTTTGAAAATTTATATTTGGGATAGGGCGCCTTCTAAAGAGTTAGGTTTTTACAAAAATGTTGTATTTCACAATTCTACTGTATAAAAAGCGCAAACGCTAGCCAAGCCCATGAAAATACACTTTATAGCCAGGGTGTGTTATCAAAAGGAACGGCGTAAGGATCATTCTGCTTGCCTTCTGGGTACTTCTGAGTGACGAAAAACATTATTGCGAAGTTTGGAGAGACCGACACGTCAATGATCATGGCATCGCCAAAAAAAAAGTTCAATATTCACTATCCAGCGATTATAAAATCATTTGAGAAAAGCCGACATTTGGGTGCCACATAAAAGGATTCGTTCACTGGTATTTTTAGCTGCTAAACTTTACGGAAACGTGACAAAGTTGAGCCCGTTGTCATATGGTTAATCAGTGACGGGCGACGATCAGTGGATCACATACGGAAATGTCATGGTCACATAATCTGTGGTAAAATACGGACTAATGCTGAAAAGGGTAATGCCATGAGTTCAGTGGGCTATCGTGGAGGCATCGTGTTGATAACACTAATAACTAACAAAATCGACGGCAAACCACTGAAAAACGTCGACTGAAACGAGGGACATCGTCTTTTCGCGTAAAAATTGATTGAAAGAACTAATGGATCCGCTGTTTATGTAATATGTTTTTTTTTTTTTTTTCAAAAGTACTGTTCTAAAGAAAATATGTAACTGAATGAATTGAACGCTATCACCTGAAGTATGCATATAGTTCCGCAAACACTTGACAACATACATTGTTGTACAGATCGCCGAGCATCCCGGTACATGACGAGCCGTTTGCGTTTGCGTCACAGGATCCCCATTGATAATCTTCGGGTAATCTAAGCGTGTAAGTGAGATTTAGCGAACCTGCAACCGCATCGAAGAATCCTCCATGTCTCCCGGCAAGGCGTTTATCCGATGTCCACTCGGAGAGGTACATCCACTATACCGAGAGTCACAGAAGCATGAGAACTCATAAAAGTATCATAACGGTAAACGAAAAAGGAAACCGTTTTTCTCAATTTATCTAATATGCATCACTGGGGCAAACGAGGTACGCAATTATATATATATATATATGTATGTATATACACATTGACAGGACGTCTTACCGGAAATGAACTAACTTGAACATGATCGACTCCAAATCCAGCCATCGCACCGTCTTTATATGGGTAGGTTTTTATGATTGAAACGTTTGAGTTGCCTTCTAGCGGTGCAATGCACATGAAACAACGGCGACACACTACGACCTTGCTGTATCTAATTAAAATGCGCATTAATTCGAAATTTGTGTATAGTTTTTAAGTTAAGTTGCATTCATCTTGTTCGCCTGTCTCGGTACATGATGAATGATCAGGAACTCAATTGTGAGCCTAACGTATGAGATAAAACACGCTTAATGGATCAGTCTCTGTTGTTATAAGGCAACGTGTGTTGTCGTATGTCTACTGGTCTTATGTAAATCAACTGTATCTTCCACCGAAGATGCTGATTTACCCGTGTTTTGAATCGTCACTGTAGCCTTTACAATTAGGTTCATTAATTGTCATTCGTTGCATATGCACGCGGTCCCTGGCTGGGGCGAACGACCTCCACTGAACCACTAGCATAGGGCTTTTGATCTGTTGATGTGAACTTATATGGTCGTTTGAACTGTTTTTTGCCACACGATCTTAGTAAATATCGAGTATAGTCAAATAGTTAATACAACTATTTTTACCATGATTATTGGTAACTGAGCCGCTATACATGTGCTTAAAATAACCTTTGTACGTTTCTATTAGATCCCGTAAGCAGATCAAAAGGCGACGTTGGCCGAACATCCATGGTACCTGCACTGGAGTTATTCCCATTGTCCTTTACCGTCCGTAGGTCTTAAATTTACCAGATAGGTCACAATGTTCCACTTTCTTTTGTCGGCAGACGCCAAAGATGGAAGTGTTTTCTAGCTTTTCACATAATGCTAAGATAGCAATACGACTCTTTGGGTATCTTTGAACAATCACACGTAGCAAATCAGCTTTTAGACCGCACCATCGATGTCGCTTACTATCAGATACGGAATATTCCTTGCTAAACAATTCAACTCTGATAAATCTATTGGGATGACTCATAATCGAAAACACAATGGTCGTCACAGTATATTTAGGTACTTTTTTCATATACACCCTTATGCTCTTATTAATGCTATCGTCATTAATTAATCACAAGGCAATATAACCAATACCAATAAGTCAATTATTTAATTTATACATTTTTGAACATGGACAAATATTTCTATACAGCCAGCACTATATACACATCTGTTATTGTTCGGTCGCTTCATTTTTGTATGTTTGTTAGGTCACATACAAATAGCCTGCTTGTTAAAGGAGAAATTCCATGCATTGCCATATACGTTAGCCCGCCATTCGCATGAACAGTCCTACGTGGTTACTCAGCGCCGCTTATTAACACTTTACGCTAACGGCATAAGCTTATTCAGTTTGTCTCTTATAAGCGTACAGCCTTGAAGAAGTTCTTATATTTGTACTGTGTTTCATTAAATATGGGTATAAATTCCGGCATCTCCATAACCATCTCTACGGTGAGCGGTCTTTCGAGCTGTGCCAGCTCGATACAGCGTTTGAACCCTTCAGAGAAATACGTACACAATGGAGAAGCCTCATATTGGTCCTGAAATATGGATTCGTAACTTTGTGGCTTATCTATGGTGTATTATGGTATTCAGTTACTAATCACCCATGATCTACCGGATTTATGCTGTTTTTTTCTTAACAGGATAACTACCCTGGATAAATGAGCGTTCTCAGAATCTGATGTAAATAGTGATTTTCCCAAGTTTGTACTATTGCATTGGGCGAGCCACAGGATACAACAGACACATGGAAATGTAGCAAATGTAATCAAACATTGACATCATTAGCTTATATCGTGTTTACGACGAAACTTATGGACACGGGTTATGGCAACACAATCATTCATTGCGAGAAATAGACACGACCAAGCGCAAGATCGCTTTGTGTTCTACAGCCATGTCAAGACATGACACGTATCAATTATATAGGTTTATGTCTCACCTGTAACATCGCTACGGAGCATAAGGCGTACGCAAGCAATCTTGCTCGTACATCATTAGACATGTATTATATGTGCCAACTGTGTTGAAATGTTTACCAACCGTCAGATCCGCAGGATTCCAGATTAGAGCTTTGTCTCTTTTACGGCTCTTGGAGATGTCGGGCTTCGGTTGAAATTTGCCTTTATACTGAACAAGCATGTTCCAAGCTGGCTCGTAAGAAACAATTGAGTCTGCTTTCTCCAACAGAGCCCAGTCAGCATCTGCGAACAAAGGATGACTTTTGAACTCCTGATAACTTTCCGTGCACAAACGATCTGCAAACATGAACATAAACGTCTCAGCAGGTTTCACGACATGATGGTAGTCGCCAAGGCTGTCGCTTATCTTCAACTGAGAAGGTAGCACCAAATGTACCTGCGTTCCCTGGGTGGGGTGTAGGTTTTTCAAAATTCAGAATTAATCGGGAATAGATTGTTACAGCCTCTTGTAATTCTAGTTATTTTAATCATTTTAATATGCGTAACACATCTACATAACATTTGCAAGTCTTGAAAAATAACAAACGGTTTTTTCACACAGTTGATACCGAACAGTGTATTATTTGATGAGAAAATTAAAGCCACTGCAAGCATTATGATGGCAAAATGTCCCCGCAACAGCTCGTCCCATTGAAAATTTCCTCAAAGCAAGCATACCCTGGAGAAATTGATTCTACTGTTTTCAGGTAAAGCTTACTTGTATTCAACAACTGCTAAAACAGGTACCAGCTAATCCAACTACTGCTGCCGTAGCCGTGACTGTTTCGAAAAACTTCTGTTAGCGGGACAGTTACTGTCGGGCCACCATCTACATTTATGTTAACCAAGAAATCGCTTGCATCGCTACGCAAATCAAATTATACAGACAGACGGTAGGTTCTCGGCCAAGGTATGCATAATTTCGTTCGAAACATCATAACATCAGCGGGTACGTATAATTTCTGCGACAAAACAAAATGTTACTTCAACTTCTCGGCTTCGACTGCTTAGTTAGTTGTGCAGCGTCTTCAAGCGCTTGTGTCTAATATCTTGCACTGAATTGCACAGTGGTTTGTCGTAAAGCCGTATCAATTTATGATACGAGGCGAGAGTCATACATTTATAGCCGTTTCTCTAGAGCCAAGTTAGTAGAAACGCTATGGTAAGAGATTCAATCAGACCATGCTATAGGCAGTTAGTAGCGTAAGAAAGAGTACCCGCTGACTGTGACTATAGGTAAGAGGGGGCCTCATGCAACGCTCTTACAATGCAACCAGTAGGGAATCTATTATTATTATTGTATAGTTTGTGATTTTATTGACCTCAACCCAAATTTTCTGTCTGCATCCTCTTGTAAACCACTGACAAACATCCTATTGCCATAATATTGAGATCCTTTTGTTCCCCAGTTTTTTGTTCTAGAGTATTGTTAAAACTCTACGTTTATATGAGGTAGTTCAGAAAGGAAGGTGACAATTCAATTACGACGCTTAAAAGATTATTGCTAGCACTATATCATCGCCAATTACTATCGAGACGCGATGGTAATTCCAAAGTTGCGTTAAATTTATTTTTCTCATCATTATGTTTACATTCTGTCGCACAGTAGCCGTTTCCAAAAAGTCTACGCTAGTTTTTTTTAATTTCAGTAGTTAATTGTTTTTTAATTGAACAAATCCTAGTATTTAGCTGCTTGCCTTAATCGAGGGTTTAACTGAGGTGGGTCTTGCTGGACTAATCTGAGGCTTCTCCGATAGACCTGTGAAACAGTCTTCCCCACAAGAAGCTATTTCATTAAAAGAAATAACCCTTATTCCTGGTTATCAATTACAAATATTTTTTTCCAATGTTAAGATTTGAACCAGCATAACCATAGCAACGCATTTATAGATGCGCATCAGCTCTTAGACCATGTTATCCCCTAGTCAGTGGTAGACATTACCATAACGTACCTTTAAGGTTGGGTCGCAGAGCTCTAAATATAAAGTCCTTAAGAACCTGGAAATTTACTGAATCTTCATCTTTGGGCCAGTCCAACTCTACTTTTCGTGTCAACTTTCGCATATCGGACTCTCTTTTCCCATTAAAAGGCACCCTTCCGCATCTGAGAGCGAAGGCCGTCACGCCCATGGCCCACCTGCGTCCAGTTTCGTTTAGGGACTAATTAATATGGAACTCATTATTCCTTTTGTACCTTGTTTTAGGTTGAACGTTCAATTTCTTACAAACCCAAGCAAACTGATGGAAAACCCTCCTTTTTGTTCTAAAGTGTTTCTGAAGCATTTATGAGTTAAAAAGACTGTTTCAAATAAGATGTTCCTATAAAACTTGGATGCAGATTGTACTTCGCCGCCGTTGACTATGGGTATTTGACGGAAAAGAATTACGGTAAGTTCTATAGGGCAGGGTTTCTCATGCATCTAATTCGTGCATAGCCACACCACGCAAACGTATGCTTATTGTAGAAGAACCAACTATATACGTAGTATCATAAAGTAGATTGCCAAGCCATACCAATCAATAGATCTTCCGTAATAGTCTTTCTTGAGCACCTCTGGGGCCAAAAACGCCAATGTGCCTTCGGCCTCAGAATCCTTAAACTCTCGATTGGTTCTCCGCGAAAACGCGTTGTGAAAGCGAGGACCAAACAAGCCAATACACACCTTGAATATTGTGACATCATTCTTTGTAGAATAACTACAGTGACCAAATTAACCGGGAAGCCAACTACTCCCTAGAGGAGCTTCTTAACACTGACGGAACTTCGGAATTTTTACCATTTGCTTTTAAGACTAACTAGTTATCAACGTTGCCTATACTGAATGTCACTTCTGATGGTCTTGTTCATTCAACACAACGTCGGTTTGTCTTAATTACAGCTTTAATGGGAGTACCTAAATTTAGATCATAGACTCGTTTCAAGCTTCCCGCTACAACCGTACAAACGCCTTTCTCATAGCACGAATGAGCACGTCGACGTTGCATGTCGACCCTCAGGCTACCGTTTAATAAAGTTCCTAATTTGTTCGGCGGCCATGTGCTTCTTCCAAAACACGTTCGGATTCTCAAACAGTCTCGCCAGCCAATCCATGCCAAGACACCATATTACTGAAAGCCTTTACTAAAGACACACTTCATAAATCCACAGTAGCAAAAGGGTTTCCTTTCCTTATAACGTCTTCTTGCTTGCAGGTCACATCCAGGGCATTAGTTTTCTTACTCTAGACTGTGAATAAATCGTTAGTGCATTCAATTCTTGCATCGGTTTTACTTATTTTTCCGTCAGAAAATAATTGAAAGAGCTGCCGCGGCAGCAGGCAAATCTTGACGTTTTAACTGATCCCGGGCAGGAGGTATCTGCTTGACAACAGGGATGGTCTACTTGGGATTTTTCCTAACAGGCCGTTAAATTAAGAGGTTAAGATCCATATGAAATTAGTCTACTGAAGGTCATTAGAAATGCGTGACGACATCGACTATCTCTGGAGTTCGCACCGCTCTTCATCTGTCGTAGATTTTTTTGTTCAGCTGTGCTGGGACGTGCTTCTGGTTCTTTTGTAGCTACATACTTACCTGAGAGGTCGTTTACTGTTGATTTGTGAAAGCTAAAGAAATATTTCGTTGGCGCTTAAACCGGCACGAGATTGCATAATCTTCACTCACATTCCAATGACGCAGCACCCTTGTCCGCCGTGGCTCGAAGATGTTTACATCCTATTAGAAACGAGCCTTCATCCAGTAGCTTCGTGAAATCGCGCGTGGCCGTTCGAAAAAAACCCAAATTTAAACGATTCACCCTGTAATGTTATTACTGAGCAAGATACGTGGAGCAGAGAATTATTTCCGTTGAATGAAGCCATACCAACCTTGGCAGTATCAAAATCGCACAGCTTGATGCGGCACTCCGGATTCATGAGGATATTCGATGGCTTTACATCGCGATGAATAAATCCCATATAATGAAGATACTCTAGTGCTAGACAGAGTTGGGCTATGATTACGGTAACAATTTGCGTAGGCAAACTTCCCGTCTGTCTAATTAATCGTTGGCAGTCGACCCCGCTAAAGTATTCCATAAGTATAATGTATGCCTGCATCGTATCCACAACATAAAAACAAGATCATCTTCTGTTAGAAAGCGTGTGTCCGACGAAATTTCATTTCGATGGATATGGTATAGTAATGCAGTATTAACAATAGTAATAAGCAATAGTAAAAAAAGAAAGGGTAGTTTTGAAAACTTCATAGCCACAAAACTATGAGTTAAAACTTAACCATTTATAGTTAGTTAACTATTAATAATCCACCGCAAGGATCTACAGTAGGTGGCTGAAGAGGATTTGGGTGCCAAAAGTACCATTGCAAGACAAAAATTACTGCGCCTTATAAAAATCATGCTCAGATAGTTTCTTCCAGATAGATTTTCCCCTATACGACGCAATAATCATATAAAATGCAGGACCATACAACAAATTCAGTTCACTGGTGTTTGTTCGTCCTTGTACGTACCTCATTGCAGGCAAACGTCCCGTAAATGGCGACGTGAAGGGGATGTCGCGACATTGAACCCACGAGAGTCGTGTTAAATGGCGAATTCGTGGCGCGATTCTTTTTTTTGCACACAACTTTCATCATTATATCTAGACCTCTGCCGAATACAGCTGCATGTACTGTGCCTTGACTACCGCAGGCTAGAAATATACGTTACATTAGAATGAACGCGCGTTTAGCCAGCCACAAAGCAGCGCAAACGTGACCCTGCGCGATAATCGTTATGGGTTTCGTAAATTCTATGCAGGGATTTGCAGCAGTGAATTACTCGCATGCGGTATAAACGGATTTTGCTAATAACGAAGCCGCGTAAAAATTTCACGTTAACATATTCATAACAAACATGTGTATGTATGAACATTCAAGTTACAAATAAACAACCGTGAGTAAATTGTTATTAGGAACGCTTACCAATGGGTATGTACTTGGAAAAGTTTCGTAACGGTGGCACTCTGGGCTGTTCCCTTTCAACGTAGTTGTTTCGGAAGTACTCCTCATAAAAGCTTGCCAGCTTTGTCCAGTTGGTTACTTGTCGATTAGCCAGGTCCTCGAGATGTCCTGCCAAATCCGCCACTACACGCATACTCATTACCATCAATTTGGCAAGGTACTTTTCAGTAGATATCGACAAAATAAAACAAAAAAGTCGTGTTTAAAACAGGAATAACCACGTGGGTTAGACTTCTGTTGAGAAAAACCTGCATGTAGATACGATACAAATTTAGGGATTTCGAACTGAAGCAAGTAAAAATCGAAACAAACCATATAATCTCTGCCTTTATACGCTTGGCATAATCAATTGAAGGCTGACACCAGGTCTTCCTGGTACAATGGCAAACCAGTGGGCACGCCGAGCTTGGGTCGAGTTGTGAAAAGCTAAACTTCTGAGGATAAACGAACGTCGACAGAAAAAGAAAAACCCGGAAAATAGCAACACTTCCTAGCATAGAAAACTTCCTAACTTGGACGTCTTGGCATAAACAGCCCTTTCGAAGCAATCATAGATAACACGACGACTCTATAATAAATATCGTTTCATGCCTCTTCCTACGCCAGTTTGTCTTGTTTATCGAAGGCTTTTCCAAACCATTTGAAATAAATCTAAACATTCACGCGCATCGACTTAGCTGAAATAAATAAACCAAAGTGTATAAATAGTTTCTATCTGGCATCGTATATTCAATAAGATCGAGTTTATTTCGATGAAATGCTTGGATCAGCCACTACGACGAGCAATCATCGGAGCTGAGCGTTCTTAGCTACTGGGCAGATCGACGCCATACTTTAGCTCTAGACTAAAGTTATAAGGTGAGCCAGCATTCACTCAGTAAATGATGCAGCTCTCTTAGAATTGTCTGTTCCATATTGTAACATTGTTGTCCTGCATTATATATAGTACCACGTGAAACGGATCTGTTAGATCTCAATTTGAACTTTTGCTAGACGAAACTGATTAACTGGCTACTTACAATACAGGCGACTTGCGACCTCGTTGTAAGCATATCAAGAAGAAAACCAAGGTTTTCAAAGTATTGTCGAACGTCGTCATAGGCGAGCTTCTCTTTCTCGAGACGAATCAGTAACTTTACTGCGCCTAAACATGACTGCTTCATAACAAAGTGTTCAAGGGGCGTCATTGTAGATCCGGGTTGGAACTCCTGCTTGATGAACGCCTGAATCCCCTGCGCAGCCGCCTTTACCGCGCTGAAGTGGTTATGTAAATGCGTTATATATTATCATCTAAGCATCACACCTTCTGCCTAATTTCGGTTGAGACGAGGTTCAAAGCATCGTACCCTTTTTCGGGAATGCGGAATTTTGCACCGGTGACACGGAAACTGAACTTGAATGAACTGCGCTTTGACAGTGTAGTGTTTGCACTCACCCGTCATACATTGTTCTAACCCTTCTAAACACCTTTTCCTTTTCACCATCATCCATTTCCCCGGATGTGACGGGGTCTGATACAAACGTATCGATAGCGGCTGAAATACATACACAGACGCACTCAGACATACATACTTATGACTGAGTCAATTTTCTCTGCCCTCAATTCAAGTGTAAAGCTTTCTTTCGCCTGGCCATAAAACCATATAGTACAATCCATTCGCCGGGTTCTTCAACTGTTGTATGCCAGTGTGGCCACCGAAAATTACTTTTTCTAAATAAATACATTTTTAAACATATCACTAAATTCCGGCGCTAAGAAGCCTTGCAGGTTTTTGGCCATCGTCCTACCCAGATTGGAAGTCTTAATGGTCTAATTAATCTAACTATTTTCAACTTTCTCACATCCGTTTGAATCTGTGCGCAAACCTCTACTGAGCGTTCTACTACGAATTCTCTTGTTGTTGACATGATAGCTTCTATGAACCAAGTCGCGCACCAGTTATATTTAGCACTAATTTTCATTGAGGCCTATGAATGTAAGTACCTATGTTTTGTGGAATGAGCTTTTGCAGTTTCGTGACATTTAACGAAATGGTATTCATAGATTGGCCTAAAGGTATATTGTCCTCATCGAATTTGTAACGACTCTACGGCAATTGTGTTCAGGCTCGAGCATCTGTCGTTATGCCTATCAACAATGTTTGCCTTCCTTGCCTGTCTTGCCTTCTTCGTTCACTTAACGTTGTCTCCTTAAAAATTGCCTATTTAGCGTGATAGCACGCCGTCGGTATCATACGATGCCACTGTTCTATTAACATATTGAATGTATACATTAGGCGATCTTCGATTGTTGTTCATGCAGCTATCTATTCCTCATTCAAATGGCCGATAAGTGACATTTCAATACGGCTAAAATCTCTCATGACGTAAATGCCCATCAAAAAATACGATACATCACATTTGGAATATTAAATTTAAATATTCCAAATTTGATTTATTGTTTTATCATCATTATTGGAATATTTATATGAGAGAAAGTTATCATAAGGTGACTTTAGAAATATAAGGCCATTTTTTTTTATCGTGATGGACTACAGAGCTCACACCTTTATTACTCTATAGCTCTGAGTTAGCGGGACTTACTACTACTGAGTTTCGAAAGGCCAGATATATACTAGCAAATCAATTAATGGACTGCATATAAAATCCGGACATATATCTCTATCGTGAAGCAGCTATAATGCGAAACGTATTTTTTTTTTTTACTAAATTCACGGCCGTTGTCTTCACAATTGCCGTTCGTCGATGCACTAACCTTCGGCTGTTAGGCCTATTGTGCTCTTGGTGTTATGGGTACGAATCTGTTGACTTACTTTGAAGGCCGGCATGAAATATTTAAGAAAAGACCCACAGCAAGTAATGCCATCAATGTATTCGCTTCCTCTAAACACTAGTACGGGAAAAAGCATTCTATTGAAGTGTTGTTTACAAAAGAACAGTGGCTGATAGTGATGGGTTGATAACTTACCGGGTGTATCGCATATTCTAATGCGCGGCCCGTCATTTAGATAGCCTATGTTTCCTTCACCACTCCGGAGAATGGACATATTATACTGGTTGTACTGGTTACCTCCGTCGGTTGGCGAGTGCATCTCGGCCTCTTTTTTGGCCTGACAGGACAACAATAGTAGCGACCGTTTGGTGACAATTCAGTTCGTTGTTACTCTGTTAAACGCAACCTGTTGGCTGTAATTTTGGCAGATCCAACTCCCAAGCAAAACTTCAAGTCGTCATTTCGCGATAGTTCGAAAAAGCGATAATACATCATGAACGTTGTCGTTGCTCAGGCTTTGGTGTCTTTATACTTACGCTCAAAGGGTCGGGACCCCGTGGAAAGACTGGCGACAATGGCCAAGTATCAAAAACAACATGTTGTCTGAAAGCCGTGTGGGCAGTAAGGGCGTGTTTAGACGACACCAAATGCTAATGGTTCTCATCGGATTGAAGAGAAACTATTCGTATTCGCTATCTAAAACTACTGTATACGGTGGAGGCTTTATTTTTCCTCATCAACACAAGAATAGAAGATGTCGACCGAGTTAACAAGCGCTGTATATGTGGGAGGCCTGAGAGAGACACATAGACGATCTCATAGACACATAGAGGAGAACGTAAATTGAACCTAGATGAATAATAATTGTGTTCTGATCATTTTAGCTGTCCTGCACTGAACAGTTAGAAAACTGTTTGGCACAAGTTATACAGAAACAGAAACCTAGCAACATTTGGCCTCCCCATCTAGAGTGTGTTTGAAAGAACAGTCAGATAATCTGTGCAGAAAAAGCGAAGCAGAAGATGTTTTAAACATGTAAAACAGCTGGACTCTTTTATTTGTGTCGAATTTGCATTGATTGAAGTGGAAAGATCGGTCTGTTTGTTAACGTATGCTATATGCTATTCTCATTTGTGTTCTGGCGCAAAAGTTCTTACGCAAACACACTATCTTGTAACGAATTTTTGTAAAATCTTCGAAGACGAACGGCAAAGAAACGGAGCCTTCCATACTGTTGAAGTGAAATCAGTGCCGTTGGCTTGAATGGCTAGAGTGTGTAGTATAACAATCTGTCTCAGACAGATGATGCCGTAAAGAAACCAGCTTAGTATAACGCATATTGTACTTCGTCATAACCTTAACCCTTTGTGTACCTATTGATGCTAAAAGATGTAGTATGATTGAGTACATACATAGGCTATAAACTGATGCCTTATATTCGAAAGCTACCTACTCAAATAATTATAGATTGGCTTTCCTAGTGTAAGAAAGCGTGAAGAATGAGATGGAAATGAAGAATGCTCAAAATATACGACAGTCCCAAGTAACGCTCAGTCATCCCCTTCAACCCAAAGAAGGAAAATAGAGACGCTGTTGAAGTTTTTATTGTAGGCCTTTTGTTCCATAAATGTACGTCTACTCCTTTTCCATGTCCATAATTCTGAAGCAGATTTAGGATCGAATACCTGACCGTGCGCTGCTTCTTGCCAATTGCCGCATTCACAGCACCATCATACATCGCTAGATGTATTAATTTCTTATTTACGATGTCCTTCGTAGTCGGCGCATACGAGACACTACCTAGGCTTGTATAATCTCTACAAATAAATATTTATACGCAACACCTGTACCCTTTGGCGTTATGGGTATGGAGAGTAACGAACCGGATGGCCTTCGAGTGCTGTTATAAAGACAGCCATTATTTTGTTTCCTAGATTCGTGCACCGTATGCGGCGTTTCATACAGACGCTTTTTTTATTTTCGAACTATATTTATATTATAAATCGTCTCGATCCCGCCGACAGTCTGGCAAATATTCAGAACATAAGCGCTATAAAAACTAAGTGCAGCAGAGATTTGCGAAAAAAAAAATAGTTATCTTCCTTACGTCCTCGATTCTCTGGCAACATGTCTACAAACATTCGCTGCAAAGATTAGTTTAGGTCTGCTAATTATTTTAGCATGAATACATGTAATCGAGTTCATCATTGATTTTTGTCAAAGGTCGACTTTATTGGTTTTAACTCATGCATACCTAAGGATCGCTCGACGAAGCCTCTGCACAGCAATCGAGCAAAAATATATGATTTTCTGACAAAAAAAGAAAAAACTAATGATACCTTATCGCCACTATATGAGGCAATGGTATGCCTTCAATCTGTTTTTGAGTAAACAGCATAAGGGTAATGAAGCGTTAGCTTCTAGGTGCATTAATTAATCTTCTTTTTTCCTGTTCAAAGTAAAGGACTGCTGATCAAATGTCCCGCAAATAGTCCGCTAAACACTAAATGCGTACGATTTCACCTTCAATATTAAAATAACTATTTAAAAATGACGTCGTTTCCATAACTGTGCAGACTTACCTTGCACATCATCACTACATTGTTTTTTCAGAAGAACAGTGAAGGCCACTTACTCACCAGATTACGCTTCATTGAACCGTGAATCTCGGCTGACCCTAAGGTCCTAGTACACATGTCCGATTCTACGAGCGTTCGAAACCGCTCAAGCTAAATACGAATTTAGCCCGATATTTCCTGGCTGTGCCTAATGCACGATACGAAATATCTGACAATATGAAACAGCACTTGGCCTTTTCTGCACGAAGATCTATGAAAGTCTTCAACTCTGAACTTATCTATACCTATAATCCAAATGGAAATTTATGTTACAAATCAATAGTGTTCCTTCTTAATGTTATTAGTAAGACAAGACATTTCGAACTTCTTTATATGGTAGTGGCGCTAAGTATTGTTCTAGACGGCACTGAACGAAACATGTAACCACTCGGTTTTTAGTTAGAAGGCTTGGAAAATTACAAACTATGTGGCGAGTCTGAATACAATTCTCCAAATGATCAGACGTCGCCTTTAAGTGTCGGACCATCACTCCGGCTCAATGGGCATTCACACTTCGATGTTGTTCAGGGTCTATGGGCAAAAAGCGGAAATCGCATGGCCTGGAATAATTAAGCGATGCACATCAGTATATAAAATTGTGAATTGTTCTCAATAGTTGACGACTTCCTATCTCGAAGATGCATAGAGTACAAGAGCTCTCAACCGCTAAAAAGGAAATCCATAGAGCCAATCGTAATGGCACGACTGAAGTGAATTGATCAATTTTGTGTGTATGACTATAGGGCAAATTTTGCTTAAAGCGAGGGTAAATAAGGACACATAAAAAGAAATATTGCTTAAAAGCTTTTCCGCTGAGGATACTAGTATGTGAGTCACAAAAATAACAAGACTAGACTTGTCGATCACCTACGTGTCAACTAGTGAAGATCTTTCTGTCAATATTTCCTTTGCTTATAAACTCATTTGGATAGTTCAGATAAGCTCAAAGAGCTCGTAATTTTATTGATATGACAAAAAACTGGACTACACGCGGTATAAAGATGTTTCTTCAAGCGAGGATCTTTCATGTAAACCAAATATTTGTAGATACTATTTTTCGAAGATAGCTGGTACAGGAGCTACACGGTTTCATTATTATTCTTGTCGCGGTTTCCCTAGTCATTCGAAACTTTTCTTTGGAAAGAACTAAAGGTGTTCTCAGTAGAATATTTTGCAAGTACACAATGTAAGAGGGACAGAATTTGACCGATATAAAACAAAACACGATGGCTCGACGGCATCTGACCGAAGATTCTGTATTTGGTGGAAGTTCTAGAGGGTTGTTTGAACCGCGCGCCACTCTCTCGGCGCAGGGGTCCTTTCCACTGAGCGTCTACCCTCTCCCTGGGCCCCGCGGTTCAAATCCCCCCATCCAAGCTCAGCACTCTGCCTGTGGGCACACAACGACATCTACAGTCTACGGAGCTCAGATGTGTCAGTGCTAATAAGCTTCGTAAGTGCTCGGTGCTATTTCTCATTGAATAAATAATAGTGTAGTTCGTGTTACCGCGCAGGTTCGTGAAACTGTTACCTCATATTCTCTTGCCTACGGATACGTACAAAGTAATCTATGCGTGCAGGGACTTTTTAACGAATGGTGCCCTGTTCATCTTTGTCTGGTCCACTGTTCCGGGTGCTCCCTCAAAGTCATGTGCTAGCTGCTACACCTGGCCAGCGAGGTGAGTTACTCCTGATTCTGTCAACGTAATTCTTTACTTTCGTATACAATCGGTAGATCTACGTCCAGTTGTTATGAACTGCTGTTGGAGATCGTTGCATGGGTAACTGACGAGCTAATCGCACACGGGCAGGACGATTTGAGTTCTGGAAGTTGAAAGCAAATCTTCCGGGCTGATCATGCTATCTCTGTGTATCGCTACTGCTTCCACCTGGAGCGGGGCTTTTGGGAACACGATTCGGGCAATACGAGCACTATATAGAACGGTTATCACTCAAGACAACCATGGCAATAAATACCTTTGACAAAAAGTAATACCGTGTGGATTTTGCCCAGTAGCATTTACCGCTAACACGCACGACCATTGGTCTGCCTGTTCGCCGTCTACAGTGTGCTGTGACTGCGACTAAGAAATACTCTGAAGGAAAACTATATTCATATATGCCTCAGCATATCGCGGTTTAGTACAAACGGGTTTCATTTCACATGCCGAGAACCGTTGTATAATATGATCCCTTACTCGTTACTTGGGCAGGGATTTGCAATACTATGCGTCATTATGAGATAGTCACTGCGAAAAAGCTAGCTCTAGGCCCGAATACACAAGCTACGGTAACGCTGCACAATAGGTTGGTTTGGCGGTAGATCAGATGATGCGGACCTACTACTCATTCTTTTACTAAATTGTACCAACTGAGAGCGGATCGCCGACTCAGGCGAGAAGGTCATTCCGCGATTAGCCGAGGCGATGGCTTCCACTGCAACCATATAGTCGAAAAATTGGTGCACGTTAGCCGTTGTCGGGGGGAAGACAGCTTACCCCCGTACGGTGCACGCAAAGTGGTTAAGTAATGCGCAGGGCAAAGATTACTATTGAGAACGGGCTGTCAGTAATGATCTTATGACACAAATCAATTTGTGCTATCGACTAATGACGATCCGAAGAAGTTAACTCGATTGAAAATAATTCGATTGTTTCTGGAAAAGCAACTAGAAATAATTCATAAACGATAACTAAAAATGCAATACATAAGTTCTACGAGAACTATCGACATGTTAAAAAGCTACGATACATAAATAGGTGAGGAGAAATGTGCCATATTGAAATGATAGGGATAATATCCAGTGGAAAGTCAAATATGTGAAGCTTGGGCGCGGGATTACTCTCCATGGAATCGTCAACGACGGTCCACTTAATGCGCGTTAAAATACACACAAAAGTGGATGGATAGGAAAACTTTGAGCTGTATGCGAGCCAATTAGTTCTAAAATAACGTTAACCTGTACAGCTGTGTCTGATGCATTTAGGCTTGATATGTCCTATGAACTAAATTTTGACCTACACTTTCCGTTCAGCAGGTGTGAATGGGGCCCTTGGTAACGTCGACTTCCAATTTTTCTCAATTATATTTAAGCATTTCAAGTGTGTCTTCACAAATAAGCTTTATTTTACTTAATCTTAAATCGCTAGCGATCTACATTGCTAACAGCTAATATACTTCTATATATCTCAGCTAATATACTAAGAAACTTCTTTTTGGCAAACCCATTCAATCTTTTACCACGAGCGCCATGGATCTTACCCTTCAAGGACAAGATTGTTGCTCATTTTCTAGGCACAGATACTTATGAATATGGTATCTATATTACAGTGTTTGTATTTTGATAATAAAAAGTACACTCTGGTGTTTGTAGCATAGCTGAATGAAACTGCGCTTCACTAGCTACAGGTTCAAAGGATAATAATACGCTGCCTATATAACACCTGCTCAGTCGAAGGAACATATTAACGCCCGTGATAAGCT